CAGTGGTTAGGAGCACTGGCTGCTCTTGCAGAGGACCTGGGTTCAATTCCCAGCACCCACATGGCAGCTAACCACTGTCCATAACTCCAGTTCCAGGGGAATCCAACACCCTCTTCTGACCTCCATGGCCATTGTACCACATGGGTACACTCACACATGTAGACAATACAGTCATACACATAAAATAAACATAATAAAAATTGTAAATGTGGTACATATATATATATATATGTGGAATATTATTCTGCCATAAAGAAGAATTAGGCCATTTGTAAGAAAATGGATGGAACTAGAACATGTCGTGATAGCTTAGCCAGACTCTGACAAATGTCATGCATTTTCTCTCCCATATAAAGTCTAAAACCTGGCCATGGCAAGCCTTTCAGGAGCCCAGTCTTGTACCCTCCATCCCTGTCCTCCATTCCCAGGCTCCCATGTCCTGTGCTTCTTGCTTATAATTGGGTCTGGCTCCTTTATTCTTAGTGCATTTGTTTGAGATCAGAGCTCTAGATGATGGAAGCCTTTTCTTTAGTTTATTTATTGCTTTAATGATTATTTGTTTCCCAAAAGGAAAACTATGTTTTGCTATATTGCTTTTCGGACTATACCAATCTAACTTAGAACCAAGCAGATTAAAGCCGTAGCTCTCACTTATGTCTTCTGTGTTTTAAAACAAATAAGAACACAATCTAATTAGAAACTGGCATAAGTCATAAATAACCACACAGCCTGCTTTATAGAGGATCCATACAACTCCCAGGTACTAATTACTAATGATGAATTTAAGCGTGTGTATGTGCTCACAGGGAGGGGTTAATATACAATGAATCCATAAGACATAGCTTCAAGTATTATTGGTTCCTAAGTTAGGTTGAGCTGTACCTTCTTCAAAGGACTTGAAATCATCAAACTATCAGATGGAAGGAACACACCAGTGAACAGTGCATGTTGGTTTTCAATACTGAAGCAAATACCTTAGCCAATCAACTTGTAAAGATAAGAGATTCAGGTCAGTGAGATGACTCTGTGGGTAAAGGCTCTTGCCATGAAGCCTAATGACTTACACGTCTGCTCTCTGGGCCCCACATGGTAGAAGGAAAGAACTGACTCCTGTAAGTTGTCCTCGAACTCCACCTGTGTGCCATGGCACCTATACATGCACACACACACACACACACACACACACACACACATACGCACACACACACAATTAATTTTAAAAATATAATAAACAAATTTGAAAGAGACTCGTTTTTGGCTAACAGCTTTAAGCTGTAGTCCATAACTAGGTAAACATGTTTTATGGCTTCTGGTGCAGGTGGGTGGAGCACATCATAAAAGAAGGAAGTGGCAGATCAAATTGCTCACCTCCTGATCAGAAAGTGAAAATAAATATCTCACCAAAGTTCTACAATCCCCTTTGAAGTCATGTCCACAGTGGCCTAAAACCTCCCATCAGGCCCCACCTCTTAGAGTTAGTACCACCTCCCAATAGTGCCAAGATTGAGGCCACACCGAACACATGGGCCTCATGGCACATGTAGAGTTCCAGAGGCAAACTACAATATGAATCAAATGGAGGAAGTTTATTTTCTCACTTATAATCCTGAGGATTATTTAATAAAAAGCCTAGTAATAAAATAACAAAAACTCATCTAGAATAAACATTGATGTTAAGGGAGGGTTTATAAAACTGTGGTGGGGGAATTGCTGGCTCCATCATTACCCATGAATTTGCTTAATGTTCAGATTTGGGGTCCCTGCCATAAACCCACTATATTGGTGCCTCTGGGAAGGAGGCCCTAGAGTCTGCATTTCCCCTAGGAAATTCCCACACTCCTCACAGAATAACATAACTTTATAATGTAACTGCATAATTGTGTTTGTCCTGGCACGGTGTTGTAAGCCTCTCTAGTTTCTTAATATTCAAATTTGTCATGATAAACCATATGTGTATACATTATCCAGTTAATGCTTGCCACTGTATTCTTGGAGATAGGTGAAAGGAGTGAGGGGCAGCTTTGGAAAGTTGGTTCAGTTTCTGCCTTCTGAGTCCTGTGCTTTGCTTCTCAGTCTCTTCTTGTGCTTTATTTGAGAGCTCACTCAAGAAATGTAGCCACATATATTCACATTATTGTGAAAATGTTGAAAGGCCATATATAAAATGTGTATCATTACTCATAAACCTGAGTAAAATAATGTTTATGTGGTTATATTTTGTGAAGCTAAATGAAATATTTGAGCATGAATGTTTGTCACTCATTATGTTTAAAAGTTTTTTGAATGATATTTCATTCCATGCCATGTAAGGTCTTGGACATCTCTATGAAAGTTTATATTTTCTCTGCCTACAATATTTTTGACAGACTGTAATCTGTTTTGCCTATCTCCTTAAGGCCTGAATTTGACATGGACATAAAATCCTAAATAAAATACCAAAGAACACATTTGTATTTGCAGTGCTTCCCTTGTAGGGGGGACGGCCAGCAGGCAACGTGGCTTTCTGGGCTGCATCCGGTCCCTGAAGTTGAATGGGATGGCGCTAGACCTGGAGGGACGAGCCACAGTGACACCAGGAGTGGAGCCAGGGTGCACAGGTCACTGCAGCAGCTATGGAAACCTGTGTCGCAATGGAGGGAGATGTCAAGAGAAGCACAGAGGGGTCGCTTGTGACTGTGCCTTCTCGGCGTATGATGGGCCGCTGTGCTCACATGGTGAGTGTGATCGAGAAACGAATCATGGAGAAAATGTGGCAGATGTAAATTATAAAGGATCTTTCTGGCCTTGGGATTTATAAAGAAAGCGTAAATGATGCAATTGTTCGAAATAGAATATCTGTCCTAATTCCTCCACTAAACTTAGAAGGTGTGTGAATACTTTCGACAGCCTAAGGCTGCTATGTAGAACATCAGCCTTCTCTGGGTCACGTTCAGGAGCCTTCTGTCTTCCTCCTGTCTTCTGTTCTGTGTTGCCCCTCTCAAGATCGAGAATCAGATGATTTCCAGAGCTCCATCCTCAGGCTGCTCTGGTTTGCAGATCATCCAAGCATCTTTGCTATGCATCACTAAATTTGGGATGATACAAGGATACTTTTTTTTTTTTGTCTTTTTGAGACAGGGTCTCCCTGTAGTCCCAGCTAACCTGAACTCACTATGTAGACCAGGCTGGCCTTGAACTCACAGCAATCCACCTGCCTCTGCCTCCCAAGTGCTGGGACTAAAGGCATGCACCACCATGCCAGGCACAAGGATACATTTAAAAAAAATTTATTTTTAGTTATGTGTCTGTGGGGCAGAGAGTGTTGTACACATGTGTGTAGTGACTATGACAGCCAAAAGAGGGTGTCATATCTCCTAAGGCTAGAAGTATAGACAATTGAGAATCACTCATCGTGGGTACTTGAAACCAAACTCAGGTCCTCAGCAAGAGCAGTCTGTGCTCTTAATGGCTGAGCCATCTCACCAACCACTCACATATACTTTTTTAGAAGTGCCTTTTCACATAAACTTACTAGTTATTTCCTCCTAGGGAAATGTACATTTAATTGAATATAACATATTTCTAACAGAACCAAGCACTCAGACATTTGACCCTAAGGTGTTTCTGACTGCTCACAGAGGAGCATGGTTAGGTATTACACACCTTCTAGGCATGTTCTAGAAAGAAGCAAGGGTCTGGTTTGAGTCTAAAGTGTACCATTCTACTGACTTCTTGAATATATTTATGGCTTTTTAATACACAAATGAAACCTCCCAGAATATTCCTTAAAACTAAATCCAATAGATTTTTTATGTGTCATTCGAAAATGGTATGGGTGTCACATATGTTCAGTAATATAAAGACCTTTAATTGCTACAAAATGATGTGCCTTTCAAAAGAATTTTGAGAATTAGTTATGTACAAGCCATTGGAATGTTTCAAAAAGCACCTTAGAAAAGACTTCCGTCCATTCTCTTGAATAAGTTATAATTTAAGATCTGCCTGTGATATCAGGTCATATAATTCCAACAGAAATAGCGTCTGATGGTCAGATTCATGGGTCAGTATTTTATGTGTAAAAACCTCCCAGTCCTCACTGACCAAGTAAAAATATAAACATTATTCCATAACCTAAAATTAAATTAGGCAGAGACATCATATTGTGGGTGAATAAGAAATAGAGGGGATTATAGTTACATTTCTTTCTTCAGATTTTTTAATTTTTTATTGTTATTATTACATGGGATTTCTAACCCATGTTGTCTTAAACACCCCATATAGCCAAGGATGACCTTGAACTTCTGATCTTCCTGTTTCTGCCTCCCAAGTTTTGAGATTACATCACCGCACTGGTTTAGGTGGTGCTGAGAATTGAATCCAGGGGTTCATGCATGCTAGGAATGCACTCTACTGAGCCACATCCCCAGTCCAAACAGTCATTTAACATTTTAATTTTATTTATTTTGTGGTGCTGAAGGATTTGAACCCAGGGCCTTATGCACAGGCAAGCACTCCATCACTGAGTTATATCCCAAGCCCTTACATTTTTTGACTTAAAAAATGATCTGCATTTTTGGTTAATTCTCTTGAGTTTTATGGAACTAGGAAGAATGGAATAATATTGCAAGATAATGATGACCTTCCAACATCTTTGTTTTATTTATTAGTCTATGTGCATGTATATGCATGACTGTGTGTTTCTGTTCCAAACATATTTTGGACTCAATCTACTACAAAATTGAAATGTCAACCTTTACAAGTATTTTAAGAGAGGCTTAGAATCACTTTGCCTTTTCTTTCTCATTACAAATGTAGGCATCACCTTATATAAGATTTTATTTTCTAGTGTAAATTTGAGAAATATCTTTGGCATGAAAACAAATCTAGGACTTCCATATAAATTGGTGGATTAGAAGCCTGCTTCCCTATGACCTAGTGAAGTATAAGTCAAGATTAGAAAATATACACTCTATTCCAAAGAGGAAAAGAAAGGATGATTTTCAGACATTCACAAAGGTAATGATAGCCAAAAAGTGAAGAGGAAAGGAAGCATGGATCAGTGCAAAGAAGCAAGCCAAGCCAAACACAGATCTTGGTTCCCTAAGTGGGGAGGAGGGAAGAAGTCACATCTCAGATAAGTCACCATCTGTTGCATGAAGAAGATTCCCTGGTGAGCATTGAGAGATGTATTTATAGTCTTTCCACCCTTGTTCTGATATGTTCCTTAAGCCTTAGGTGTAGAAGCTGCATTGGAGATGTGTTACTTAGGACTGGGCATCTCACAGACACTTATTCTCTGCATTTGACCAGTTATGGAATTCTGTACTAGTCTCTGTCTGTTACAAAAAGAACCTTGATGAATGGTGAGAGGTACACTTGTCTGTAAATATAAGGATACATATTTAGAATATAGTATAAGATTATGTTGGTCTAGGGATGTGACAAAAGTAGGGTTTTCTCTAGGATCCATGACTACTTCAGCCATGTGTATTTGGCTATGTTTACAATACCATACATGAGTTCCCTCCCATGGAGCTGGCCTTAAATCCAATTAGACAGATCCTGACACCCTCAAGATAAAAGTGCCACTACTGCACCAGTAGAGATTACTTGCTGCGCCAGTCATTGTTGTGGTTCACAGACTTTACAGGTGGATGGGATGATTGATTGGTTTTCTCCCTTGGCAGTTTACATAGCATCTTCTGATTCTATGGGAGTTAGTCTTTAGGGAGGAGGCTTCCAGATCATTTCCAGCTCAATTGCTCCAAGCCCTGTGTCTGAAGTGTGTTCTGTCTTCAACAATAGGCTCTTACCTTCAAGATCTAGAAGGCAATCAGGGGCTGTGGCAATAGCTTGTGTTATTTTGGGAGTCTCTTGGTGATGAATCCAGAAAACCACAACTGGCCAAAGTACAGTGATTAAGTGACTGCAGAGTGCTTATCCCTGAATAGGACACCTATATCAAGCCTCTGCCACCCAAGGTTCAGGGAGCAGTGCAGAGGAGGGGCCAGAAAGATTGTAACAGCCAGAGGTGGTAGATGATCACAAGGAAACAGAGTTTTCCAGGTAGCTGAGAAGTTACTCAAATGAACTTATAACTTATAATGGACAGCATACACAAGATCCATGCAAACCCAAGCTAGGCAAATCCCAGTACAGAAGTGGGTAAGTGGGGAAGAAGCCCAAATCTTAGCTTAGGAACTACAGGGAACCGATAATTACTGAAACTGCTAGAGGAAAACATAAAGAAAATACTCCAAGATATAAGAATAAACAAGAGTTGTCTGAAAAGGACTCCAGTAGCATAGGAAATAATCTCAAGATGTGACAAGTAGAATTATATGAAATCAAAAGTTTTCTGTACCGCATAAGAAACTGTGAAGAGGCGGCCTACTGAGTGGAAGAACTGCACGTCCAACAGAAAGCTATCTAAGTTGTGTAGAGTACTGCACAAATTAAACAACAAAAGACCAAGGAATCCAATCCATAAGTGGATTAATGGATTAGAAAATTCTCAAAGTAATAAACAGAAATGACCAATAAATATTTGAAAAATGTTCAACATCCTTAGCCATCAGGGAAATGCAAACTAGAACTACATCAAGATTCCTTCTTACCCTTGTCAAAATGACTATCATAAAAAAGACAACAAATGCTGACATGGATGTGACAAAAGAGGATGCCCTTATGTGGTGCTGATGGGAATGCAAGCTGGTGCTGGTGCTGCTGGTGCTGCTGGTGGTGGTGGTGGTGCTGGTGTTGGTGCTGCTGCTGCTGCTGGTGGTGCTGGTGGTGGTGCTGGTGCTGGTGCTGGTGGTGCTGGTGCTGGTGCTGGTGCTGCTGGTGCTGGTGCTGGTGCTGCTGCTGCTGCTATGGAAATCAGTGTGGCGCTTCCTCCACAATCTAAAAATAGAACTACCATATGATCTAGTCTTAGGTGTGTATACCTCAAGGATCCTAAGTCCACACACCACAGTGATATTTGCATATCTTTGTTCATTGCTGTACCATTCACAGTAGTCAAGACAGGGAACCGGCCTCCAGGTCCATAAAGAGATGATTGGATAAATAGAATGTGTTACATGTACACAGTGGAATTTTATTCAGCTGCAAATAAGCATGAAATTATGGCATTTTAAGGAAAATGGATGGAATTGAAGATCCTTATATTAAATGAAATCTGACAGATTCAGAAAGACAAATATATATTTTCTCTCAATTCTAGTATCTAGATTTAAACATACACACACACAAGACTTGAAAGTAAAAAAGGGGGTCTATGAGAGATGAGTGAACGGGGAGGAAGAGGTGAAAGGGACGGAGGGGAGGACAAAAGAAGACAATAGAATATATGTGACATGAAAGCATAAAGAAGGGCCATTTGAGGGGGAGAAGGGGACCAGGAAGAGGGAGACAGAGATTAAAAACAGACTCTGTGTTTGTCTGTGTGTGTATCAAAGTATCACATTGAAACCCACTACCTTGTGTGTTAATTGAAGACAAATAAATAGATTTTTAATTCTATCTTAGACAGGCAATCTTCATTCATAACAAATGAAAAGGATATTTAACTACTGACCTTATCAAAATAGCGTGAGTTGTGAAGGAATACTGTGATGAACTACAGATGTCAAAAATTATGTAACTTAAACAGAGTTCTCAAAAGAGCACAAACCACAAACCACAAAAACTGACTTAAGAAAGAGAAAATCTGAATAGAACAGCAGTGCAAATA